CGACATGGAAAGATATGTGCAGTAAACCATTGCTGTGAGCTTGTGTGACTTGAGGTTTTGAAGGAGGCTGAAAGGTCAGACGTCTTTTGAGAACATCAGAAAAAAGACTGACAGTCCCTTGTATTTATGATAAGCTCGCTAGGTTCGGGTGTACTCAAACCGTTTCGTCATGTCAAACGGCGACCCGGCGGATGCGGCCTGCGACCTGCGAAGCTTGCCGGTGGGAGCGTGGCGTGCAGGTTAGAATGCGGCGTTTGCTGACTGCGTCGGGGGATGGATGAGATGGGCCTCACTCACCCACTCAAGTGGTCCTCACCGCGACGAGATGGAGCTGGTTGGTCTTTATTTGTGAAGGCCGTGGGTGAGAATGCGGGAGAGGGGAAGGTTTTGAAGGGTTCTGAGGGCTGAGCACGGTTTGAATCTTGAATCTCGGAGAGTGAAGTATGCAGGAGGGGGAGCATGGGGATAGGTTTGTTGGCAGGGGCCAGTTGTTCATCCCAAGTTGTTGATGTTCGTTTTGGAAGCTGGGAGATGGGATGGAAATGTGTGAGTGTTTGCGTTAATGGCTTTTGTGTAACCTTTTGGCGATTGCTTCTACACGTAGACATTGCAATCGCGGGTGTTTCATTTGGTTTTGAGACGGACCTGCGTCGCGGTGTGACTCTATCTAAGGATACCTCATCACTCAATGTACAATTAGAATGCACTTGGCCTCGATTGTAACGCGAAGAAACTCGGTCGACATCGTTGGCGCTATTGGGGATTTGCTTAAGGCTCTTCGATATTACAGATGTCATACTCTTAATCGCTTCAAGAAGCGGTTCAAAATGCAGCTTGATGCCCGTCCTCGCTGGCAGCTCTATGTAGTCTCGAAACGAAGGGCTAGTGAGCATGCTGATCCTACAAACCCATCGGCGACAAAATTACCGATGCTATTGAACGGCGTCTATCTCTACCTGCAAGCCAAGACTTCAGACGCAACATCGCGATAACAAGTCTTGGAACTCGAGCAATACCAAGTAACTGTAGGGTGCATATCTTTCTGGGGTACTTAAGCAAGCAGTAACGTGTGTCGCGGCCTGCACTTCTGCTTACGCACACTATAGCACGGCATAGGGCGGTGGCACCACGTCGGGTATCTCCTACATGTGCGGGAATAGAACATAACCCGGGGCGGGTCTCTGACAAATGAAACAAGCAAAGAAAATCCAACCAGACCAGCCACCCGATGCCTCTAAAGACTCGTCGAGTGTTCGCAGCTCCGAGCTTACCACGGTTGCGTTCCAGACCCGGGGGGTTGTCTTGGCTTTTTGCGGTCTTATCTGCACATGTCAAGATAAATCCGCCGCCGTGGGGGAGGTAAGAACTGGGCGGGACGATGGAGGGGGAGGGGCTGGCTTGCTGTGTTTCTAATTATGTATGTGACTCTTCAAGTTTTCTCTTACTCTATCTAGAGTACCTCCTTCTAGGACCTGCTACTTACTCTTGCTCTACATTGTCGTCAATCGAGCCTCATCTCTGCTAGTCAATTATCCTTCAATTGATTCCAAACTTGGCTGACTCGCAGAAGCGGCGCTTCCCATATTGTCTTTATCCCTCTAGCTCGTAAGCTTTTTTTCGGCGGAGTTTCGGTGACTACCTAGTCGACATCGTGCCATTGTCTCTTCAGGGACCCCGCCGACATAGGAACCGGAGGGGCAGGTTACAGAGAGAAAATCTCATTGTTTGCGCAGTTCGCGATAGATCTCATACCTTACACACACTCATCCCGCCGTTGAAACATCACCAAACCCTGCGCTCATCGTCACCTTGATGATCATCTGGCGATAACGGAGTGGAATTTTAGGGAGCTCTCAACCCATTCTAACGGCTGGGTTAAGAAAGAGGTCGGGGCAACTCTTACCTTACACCTTTTCAGAACTTAATCCCAGTTCTTTAGAGAAAGGCCCGCCATAAGCTCATCGCCGGCGCAAACTCACTGAGCCGCTCGTCGCTTCCGGACCACCCCGCACACCCGGAACATCGAAGAGCTTTTTTCTTCTTCCGCCCGGCCTATCGCCGTAACACCGGCATGACCATAACGACCATGGACGCCTCCGGCAAGGACCGCGTCTACGAAGACACCGGCCTGGGCCCCAGCACCAGTTCCCCCGACATGGACGCCCGTGACCAAGAGCTCGCAGACCGCATCGCAGAACAGAAAATCGTCCGCAAACTAGACATGCACATCGTGCCCCTCGTGATGCTCCTCTACCTATTCAGCTTTCTCGACCGGTGAGTTTCACGGCCATCTCCGGATATACTCCCAGTCCTTGACTCACACTCACAGCGTCAACATCGGTAACGCCCGCCTCTACAACCTCGAACGCGACCTCAACCTCCAAGGCAACCAATTCCAAGTCGCCGTCTCAATCCTCTTCGTAACCTACATCATCTTCGAGGTCCCCTCCAACCTCGTCCTCAAGCTCCTCACCCCGCGCCGCTGGATCGCCTTCATCACAGTCTCCTGGGGCATCATCGCCACCCTCACGGGGCTAGTAAACTCCTACGGCGCCCTCATCGCCTGCCGCCTCCTCCTAGGCGTCGTCGAAGCAGGCCTCTTCCCGGGTTTAAACGTCTACCTCACCTTCTTCTACAGTAAGCACGAGCTCGCGCTGCGCGTGGGCTACCTCTTCGTCAGCGCTGCCATCGCGGGCGGGTTAGGTGGTCTGCTGGCGTACGGGATCGGGCACATGGAGGGTGTCGCCGGGTTGAGCGGGTGGCGGTGGATTATGATCATTGAGGGCTTGCCGACGGTCGTGCTTGGTGTGGTGACGTATTTCGCGTTGCCCAACGACGCGGGTAGCGCGTACTTCTTGAGCGAGGAGGAGAAGGCGGTGTTGGTGAGGCGGAGGGGGAGGGAGTACGGCAACACGAGCAGTGCGCAGGAGTTTAGTCGCGGGGATATGGTCAAGGCGTTTATGGATTGGAAGGTATGGGTGTTTTGCGTTGCGCAATTTGGGGCTGATACGATGCTCTACGGTGAGTTTCACTCGTTCTTGATGTTGTAGAGTAGGTGACTGACGATAGTAGGCTTCTCGACTTTCCTCCCGACCATTATAAATGGCCTCGGAACGTGGACGGCGGCGCAGGTGCAGCTGCTGACTGTGCCGTGCTACTTTCTCGGTGCCGTAGTCTACATGACCATGGCTTTCCTGTCGGACCGCACACAAAAGCGCGGCCTGTTCTGTGTCATCTTTGGGAGCATCAGCGTCATCGGTTACGGCGTGCTCATATCACCGACTTCGAATGGGGTTCATTACTTTGGATGCTTCCTTGTCGCGGCGGGATTGTACGTCGTGGTTGGGTTACCACTTGCTTGGGTGAGTTGTCACCCTCCTCTGCTGCTGTTCTGGTGTCATCGACATGACGTCGAGACTGACAATTTTGGTATTTCTTATAGCTTCCGAACAACTCGCCGAGATACGGCAAGCGGACGACCGCGAGTGGTATGCAGCTCACCATCGGCAACTGCTCCGGCGTCATGTCGTCCTTCATCTAGTGAGTCCTCCTCCCTTCTTAGACCCATCGCACCACATAATCACCACCTTCACATCAACAAAACTGACAGAAGGACCCTCCGCAGCCAAGCTGTCGACAAGCCGCGCTATATCCGCGGTCACGCCGTGACGCTGAGCATGGTCGGTATGGCAACATGCATGTACGGCTTCATGTGGTTCTGGTACTCGAGGGAGAACAAGCAGCGGCAGGGCGGTCGTCTGGAAAACAAGTACGTCGACCTCTCTGATGACGAGCTGGCGGAGCTGGGCGATGAGAGTCCGCGGTTCCGGTACACCATCTAAGGTGATGCGAGAAGATGTCAGTGGAAGGACGGTTTGAAAGAGACGCGGACAGTTTATATAGGACAAGGATCGCGCGGTGGAGAGATGCCTGGTCAGAATTAGCCAAGGATGCCATAATAGATACCCCCATGAAGACAAGAGTGTACTTCATCCACGCGTCGACGGCCGCTTCGTAGCTTCCGCGACATCTCGTACCATGACACACACCTTTTAGTTGGCCAAATTCTGGCCGCAAAAGCAAAAAGAAGTCCAAATCGTTACCCGACTGACGTTGTAGACCCTTTTTACAGTCAAAAAAACGGCAAAATGAAAGGGACGAGACTCGAACTCGCGCGGGTTGCCCCACCAGGAAACAGATGTTAAGCTGACCTTAACCTGGCGCCATAACCAACTCGGCCACCCTTCCTATTGGTTGGTGATGCTTTCTAACAATGTTGTATATAGAGGTAGCATCCAAACCGGAGTGCGTTGTCAGCTCAATAACTCACAGCCAGTCCACAGCTTTCTGGATGTGTGAACATAAATATTCAACAATCTCTCAGTGCTATATTCCCAGGCTTTCTTGCCTCCCGAAGCTTTCTACCTTATCTCGACCCATCCCAGAGATCACCAGAGAATGACGCAGCGAAGAATCAAGCATTATCAAAAAGCATTTCTAAGACACTCCGGACCATAACCTGAAGGATCAGATCTACATTGGCTAAGTAAGTCTCCGACCCCCGAATGCGGTTCGCATGCGGAACTCCAACGTCCAACGGTAACATATTCGTCACTTCCCTCTTCTGCCGGCATCATCCCGCTTGGGGTAGATGCAAGTACAATATGCATGCACCGACTCAACACAGTCCGTCTGACCCATTTCTCCCAGCCCTAGCAGCTCGACTTCGTTCCGAATCGCGGGGCCACGCTGTCGCAGGGCCACAGAACGCTTTCAACACTTCTTTGTTATACTGCTGCCTGAAAATTGGCACCTCTTGGAGAGACCTGGGGCTAATTACCAAACGTCATGCCAATGCTACTCCGCCTCCCCGGCCCACACCCGACAGATCCAAGAGCTGTCTTTCTCTCGGAATGTATTAGCAGTCACACCGTCAGACAAGGGTGTATTGAATGATTGGATGAATTGGTAAGTGGAAGCAATTGAGCCGCCCGGTCAAGATGGGTTTATCGCCCGGCTTCCGTTGGTGTCTTGGCTCTGATGTCTTTCTCGACGACGGATGGGACGAGCCTCGTATAGCTCAAAGCAGCCTAGCTGCTTTACAGACTATGAATCCCAACCTCAAGCTACTATTAACCTTCATCATCATCAAGGATTTGCTTCGCAATAGAATTATTGGCGTGGCGGCTAGGACAATTCGTTATGGGTCCTGCCATATTCACGATTGTGCTTCTGGGAAGCCAACCAGTAGTGTCTAGCATAGGCCATTCAGCAAATCCTTTTGATCCAACCCCTTGCTGGCTACCAGGGTTATGTTCCTATTCTCTCATCGTTTATGCCGGTTGTTCTCGCCTGATACATGGCTGTAAAACCCTGCGAGGCTGCTCCACCGGATCTAAGCATCTTTCCCTCGTCTACACTCTTTCTCGAACTCTGTAGCAATGTTACAAAGATGATTATCCCTCCTTCCTTCACTACAACTATTCATCTTTCGAAGTAATCGTCTTTCAAAGTCTGCTTGTAACAACAGATGGGAATGCTCCAATGCTCCAATGGCAGCCTATCGAGGAATTGGGCTCCATCACGGGACCTGCGGGAGCAGCTGCGATCTACACCGTTGTGACCCATTACCTTTCTTCCAACGCCGCTGAGCTGTGGTCGGAGCTACTTTGCTGGCTACTACTGCCAATTATCTTTCGGAGTACTCTTCAAAGTTCATACAGTCTGGGAGACAGCAAGGGCTCGAAGAACAGCCTCCCGGCCCCCGTCCCTCGAAGTCCCGATTTGGGGGTTGCACTAGGCTCCGTACCTCTCTGGGCAGTCGCTTTTGCTATCGCTGTGGTCTCGGTGTACAGAGCAGAGCACAAGACCATTATAGTCTTTCTGGTAAGTATCGCCTCTATAATCATTCCTTCACTATACTTATCCCTCCATTTGACTAACGGAACTTCCAGCCAGTTCTATCTCCGTTACTTTTGCTTGTTCACAAGGGCTTCTCGCGATCCGATCCCCCATCATCCGATATTACGCCGTTGATTCGACCGAAAGTACAAATCTTTCTTTTTGATACATTACCTGGATCATTCTTGATCGGACTCTTTGCGGCCTTCACACTATGTGGCTGGGATCTTGAGGCATCTGCCTTCGCGGCGATACCAGCTACTGCGATGCTCGTCATCTATACTTCGTTTGAGTATGCTAACGCAGCGCGCCGAACATATTTCTATCCAAAAGTGCATCTTCAACAATCGGTCACTGCATTGGCTCCTCGGGTCGTGGTCCTACTCGTCGCGTGCTTGATACTGGACGCCAGCATTTTCGACTTCACGACGATCAACATTCCGAGCACAGTATTCTTGGGCATTGCTAAGGCTTTGGCATGGTATTTCATGGCAAGAACTGTAACTAAATCCTTTTGCTCTACCGCGTAAGGTCTAAGACTGACAGACTTTCTTTAGGCCGAATGCACTTCTTGGCGCATTGCACCAGCGATAGGGACTTTTGGGATCACCGCAACCCTTGGTCCCTTTTCACAAGCCTCAGAGTCCCAAGCAATCTCACATATGGCAGTGTCGATACTGGCACTGGGTAATATGGTACACTTGATATCCAAGCCATCGAAGACGAAGAGAGTTCCAACACTATGGTTATTAGCTATTGCTTCACTTGGCCCTTACATCATGAATCTTTTCGTTGCCAGAAATGCAATCTCTACGGCTCAAACATTTGCTGGTCATTCCGAGAAACATCCTGTTGAGATTTTAGGCCGACAAGCAGACATCAAATTTCAACACCTGCTGAGAACACAATCGGCCAACTACTCGGCAGCCCATGTCGAATACGTACGTCGATATGGGACAGAACCACCTCCAGGCCTTGGAGAATGGTTTGACTTTGCAGTAGCGAACCAGTCTCCCATTATCGACGATTTCGATATGATATTTGATTCTGTATCGCCTTTGCTCAAGATGAGCGGTGAACAAGTTAATCAAGTGATGCGCACGGCGTACGAAGCGACAGGAAGTGATCTTTGGCTTTGCTCCTTTTCGTCTACACGAGGCACAACCCAATGCCAGCACGCATACCGTACTTTCGACCGAAACATTGCATCTTCATTCAACAAGTTGTTAAAGGGTTTAGAGCATAGCAAGATCCCAGATTTGAAGTTTCTCGTAAATCACCTCGACGAGCCGCGAGTTCTCCTCCCCTCGCAGTTTGCAGGAGATGTTGATGGACAGCCTTCAATCACCCTCGGCCGTTTCAATCTGAAAAATATGTCGGGACGACCAGTCGGCAAAGAAATCACGAAACACTGTTTAGACCAAGAGCAACTCGCATCGAGGCACACGAGAAACTCGACCGTCGATTCTTGTGGCCTTCCATTTGTGTCAGACCTATCAATGGCTGCGGATCTATGCCAACATCCCGAGCATACCTCCCTACATGGTCTCATTGCGAGACCAAATTCGTTCCGTTTGATTGAGGGACTGGTGCCTATCCTATCCACAGGTGTTCTCTCATCAATGGGAGATATTGTGTACCCGAGCCCGGCATATTTGGAGGAAGAATTTCAGTATGCCGATGACCAAGATATCCAGTGGGAGGAAAAAAGCAATAACGTCTATTGGACTGGGTCCAACACCGGTGGCTTCGCTGTAGATGGCAGTTGGAGGAACTATCACCGCCAGAGATTCGTGGCCTTGGCACAGAAATTGCAACAGCCCGAGGAACAGCACCATACCTACCTGAGGCTAGTCAACGGCGTGGTCGAGCGTGTGACCTCAAGCTTCTTGAACAGTCGCTTGTACGACGTTGCTTTCACAAGGTTGTTCCAGTGCCGGAGGACACAGTGCAGAGACCAACACTCGTACTTCAATGTGAGGTCTTGGGTGGACAAGAATCAAGCGTTTCGCTCACGGCTCGTCTTCGACCTTGACGGAAACGGCATCAGCGGGCGCTATCACAAGTTCCTAGCATCAAAGTCCACACCACTGAAACAGACTCTTCTCCGCGAGTGGCACGATGAACGCCTCGTTCCTTGGACACATTATGTGCCCGTCAGCCTGAGCATGGAGGAGCTACCTGAGCTTGTTTCATACTTGACTACAACTGATAGTGGGCAGCAACGAGCAAGAAACATTGCGATACAGGGGAGAGAGTGGCATTCAAAGTCCTTGCGTGAGGTGGACTTTACAATTTACAACTATAGGCTTCTGTTGGAATTAGCGCGGCTACAAGATCCCAAGAGGAAGCAATCATGAGGCCTTGATCATTAGGAACTCCTCCATACAATGAATTAACGACCTAAGACACCTCGACTCTAGTCCACCCACATAATGAAGCAACGAAACATAACTCGATCGAAACATGATCGACTGTCGAATGAGTGACAACTATCCATGATTGAGTAGAGTCCAACGCTGCCGCCCTCCCTCAAAGATCCAACCGTAATCGCTCAAAAATTTGCAGACATACACGGACCAAGTTACCAAATACTTGATGACAACCCAATAGGCAGGGCCATCGTAATTCAAATCGCCCACGATCTCAAAAGCACGGCAAACCACATCGGCATTCCACGCTCCACAGCGGGCCGCTGTGCATTCATTCGTCCACGTGTCTCGCGCGGTATTCTTCAGGCTGTAATAGGAGGTCAGATAAGCAATCATGCATCGGGACATGGAATCTTGACAAGAAATCACTGACCGCTAGTTCCACAAACCCAGTCCATGGGACCGTATGCTCCGAAATTGACCGCCCCGTTCACGTGATGCTCGTCATGGGCCTCGTCTCCCCAAACAAGTTTAACTTGCTCTCCTGTTGCAGAGATGAAGGAGAAAACCAAAGTTGCGACGAGCTTCATGTCCAAGAACTTCGCCACGGATACTATCGGAACTGCGTACAAAAAGAAAAAGTCTGCAACGGACATGTAGCTGATGGTGAAAACGTGGTGTTCGCCTGGGTTCTTGATCTCATGATGCTTCGCGTGCACTCGATATAGTCCAGGGATGTGTAACAGTCGGTGGATGATCCAAAATACAGCATCTCGTAACACAAGGCCGATTACCAGCTGAGAAATGAGCTCGGTCCATGACGGCAGCTGGTACTTTGTGGGATATCCTTGTGACAAAATCGAGTGTCCACCCATACAAGTTGCTATGGCGAAGTGGAGGGAATTCAGAATGACGTGGTTCAGAATACTCTTGTTCAGGACTTCACGAGATGTAGCGGTGACGTAGGCAGGCCGCGTCTTTTCCATGATCATCCCACAAGCGAAATATCCCGCTTGAACGCCGAGGCTGCCGAGAACCTCAACGTAACCAGGTGGACACCAGTCCAGAAAGTCGTTCATTGTCGCAGTGCAGTGGGTATATAGTTTCGAGTCGAGAAGGGTCGGGATTTCAGGAGCAAAGATATTCCACTAGCATAATTAATTAAAAAGTTTAGGAGGCAGGGCGACTTGAGCTTAAATATTTCTGGCTGGACAGGGTTCGATAGTCGAGCTCCCTCGACGAAGAACTTCGCTCCGCTTTTACCCCTCCAGACTAGCCCTATCATACCCAAAAGCTGGAATTGGTGTCCATCTCGTGGTGTTGACGTCTACAACGTCTCCCGTCCGCACTAACCCGATATGAGTGACAAGTCCGGTCTCCCGCGCACTAGTAACTTCGTGCGTTAATTTGTCAACGATGGTGTTTGCCGGAACAACGTAATCCATCTCATGGATCAAAGTCGTGGTGGTTGCCATATTTCCCCAATTCAACAACACCACTGGCTCAATATACGAGGTTGACTTGGTACGTCGTCCACTGTGAGCTTTTGAGTGGAATTCGAATTCGCCCTAGTCATGTTTGCTAGAGTGGCGTCGATGTTTGCCCAGTTTCCGGAATCCAACGAATCACCAGAGACGTGGCGCACTATAACAATTATCAATCAGTCAGATAGTTCATCATAGTGAAAGTCTTATCTCCTTTTGAGAACTGGTTGGTAGATGATTTTCTTGCGTTGAAACTGGGAGGTGGCGGGGAATCGTGAGGGGTAATCGGGTTGACTTACACTTCTGAACTTACAGTACTGGCATCAACCGACGGATCTACATCTCGAGCAGTTTGCTAATAACGATGTTTGCTTCCACCGTTCTTCAACCGAACTTCGTTTCAAGGCAACAAGAATCAGGGTGCAAACTTGTCAGGGTTTCTAGATGGCAAATGCCGAGACCAAAGCAACGACTAATTCTTGGCAACATGGAGGATTCGAATAACTCCTGCTGAGGGAAAATGACAAAGATATGATACCCGAAGAGATAAAAGAGAAATTGCGCACTCTGCATTAGAAGACACTAGTAAGTGCAGCTCCGTAATCCGTGTAAGACGAGCCCATCTTCTCAATATCGTAATCGTTCCAGTACCCACCGCCCGCCACCACGTATTGCGAGAACCAGCTTGCAAATCGTTGCTGGGCTTGAGTCGCAGTCGTTCCTTGAGACGGCTTTGCGTCATTGACTACCCACACAAGAGGGATCACCTTCATGCCGAGGGTCGTCTGCCACGTTCCAGGATTGTTGCCAGCTCCGCCGTCGTAGACTTGGAGGTACACCCTATCGAACAGACCAGGGTTCGCGGATTCAACTTGTGTTCTGACGTTCGCCCAGAAGCCACTGTTGGTGTACGGCGCAATAGAATACTGGTAACCCATCTTTCCAAGCATCTGAGCAAAACTGACTGTGCTCGCCACGTCATAGACGCCCTCATCGTCGTTGTTGAATGCGTCAAGATCCCACTCGGCCTTCAGAACCTCAAAGTTCTTGTACAACTTTGTGTCAGATCCTGTCCCGTCTGCGTTGATCAAATCGCGGATGATCTGAAATGTCGTGTCATGTGACACCAGCGATATCTCCACCCTGTTGATGTTGGTTGTGCCCGTCTTGAAGGATTTAACCTTTTCCGCCAACGCGGTTCCACCAACATATGAGCCATTCGTCACCACGGGCGCGTCGACTGCCTCGCCTGCGTCTCCTGTTGAGTAGTAGACGAGATCGCCATTGCCGAGGAGACCGATACGGAAGATGAGGAGGGTGTCGAAGCCGGAGGTCTTGAGAGCTGTGGTGTTCGACTGGAGAACATCCTTGAAGAGGAAAATGCTCTTCACGCCGGCGGCTGCTGCGGCATTGGCAAAGAGTGACAATAGCACCCAAGTCAGGGTGAAAAGACCGGCTCTCTTGGAGACTCCCATCATTGCGCACAGGATAACCTGGTTTTCTTGAAGAAGCTATGCAAACGTTAGCTTCGACCCAGCCGCCCAATTCTGAGACGACAGGCCGCAGTCTTTATGGGCAGCGTCAGTCCATAGCAAGAACGCAAGCAATAGCTTCTTGAGTTGCGGACGTAACGTAACAAATGCAATGACAGGCCGAACCAGGGCCAAAAGAGTTTATTGCGACTCTGTGGATCGTCTTGATTGGCCAATGCCCCGCTGCCCATGCATATCACTTCGCTCGGACTTGCTGAGGTTATCACGCCGAGGGGTTGTGATCCGGCCGAGATAACCTGATATTGAGGTCCCAAGTCTCCTCTTAGGCTTTCTGCAACCCCGAATGCGACCTGATCCTTCGAAATGCTACGATCTGTAAGCGCTATTTGAATGCCTTTGGGAAATCGCTGTGAAATGAGGCAGATCGTCTTGGCTTCCCCGCTTAACATCTGCCACCTGCCTAGAACAGTTCCTGGTGCCGAAAGTCGGAATGGCTACCCCTCTCTGATGCGAGGTCTTATTTAAATCAAAACTGATCAATTATTGAAAATATCGGAAATACTGTAAATAATAGGGAAAGACACGCTCCTGAGCCTGTAATGGCACCAAGCTCGTGGAAAATTATAATGTCCCGTTTGGCCACGATGCCGTCTGTATATTAACTACTATTTGAGATTTCTCGTTTTCTTTCTGCTAGGTCTACCATCCTTTCATACCCTCAACTCTTAGCACTGTAATCAGGTAGCGCGAAGTACGGAAGGGAGGCTACTCGAGAGATCACATGGTAGGCTAGTATTTCTATGCAGGGGAGAATCCTTGTGACAAATAGTAAGGCTCTAAATTCCCTTGAAAAGTAGAGGCTTTCTAGTTACGGTAGAGTGCTTTGGTGATATCAGTGCCTAGATGTCTTACAGAGGGACCTACCACTTTCTTACAGTTTGAACGTTGAGCAGTCCGTTGTTCCATCGTATCATTTTACATCTGGTGGTTTTTTCCCGGCTTTACAGGCGCAAAAGATCGGCCTTAATGGGATCAGGCTTTCGGGGAAATCACACGATACGATATTGTTATTTTATATACACCTAGACAAAAATCAGCAACAATGCATTGGGTAGGACACAGAGGACGCTTACTATCATCTCCTTCCCTCACCGCCTGATTCTTCGGCCTGAGTTCTTCTCTCGGATCGGAGCATCGCAACCTTGGCTATGGAAGACGAGTAATGAACAAACGGTCGCGAAGTCAATAGATCATCAGGCGCCCACATCGGTAGGAAAAAGGGCCAGTACTTCAAACCTAGGCTGGAGAGGTCGATAGTAAAATATCTCGCGGCACATATATCAGGCGCCGCAGTCGGCGTGGGCGTCCACTCGATTTCGCTGAGATCGTAACCTCCAGCGGAGAAGAGCACCGGCGACCCGACCTCGGCCCCCTTCGAGCCGTAATCCATGAGGTATAACTTGGCCGAAAGAAGCCCACACATAGTCCGTTCCAAGAGGCGGATAAAGCAAGCCCGGGGACCTGGTTGATTAATCATGGACTTGATGTCTTCGGTGGGCTGGATGCCCCAGTCGTCGGTGAATTCGAACGCGATGTGCAATGGTTGGGTTCCGTCGTTTTGGAAGAAGGGACGGAGGGCGGATAATGCGTCTCCGACGGGGACGTATGCGTCGGGTGCAACTTGGAAGATGATGAGATCTTTGCCTGGAAGGATGCTTGATCCGGAAGCGCTTTGTACAGGTTGATTATGTCGTGTAGAAGAGCTGTGGCCGCTAGAAGGGTTCACCAGCGTTGCGTAATGCTTTTGAACCACGTCTCTGGACTCCTTACAGGCGGACCAAAGGCCGGCATCGACGCGGTATGTCGAAGGATCTGACTCGGACCACGGACACCGCTTTTTTGGTGTGTATGTAGGATTGGAAAGAACATAAGTCTCGTATTGGTGAACTTGCGTTGGTGTTTTGTGTGTAAGATCGGTTGACATAGTAGTCGTAGCTCGGCCTCTGATAGAGAAGACGTGAAAAGCTGGGTTTGCAGACCGAAGATTGCATTCCCACACTTGTAGTCGCACCTCGACAGGGAGTAAGCCAAATTGGTGGAATATTGTAGCCATGATTAATCAAGAGTCGGGTTTGGACGTTGGTGGTGTTTCCGGATTTCTGATGCAGGACTTTTCTCAGTATAAGATGTAAGAGACGAAATCAATCGAAGAATGGTCTTTGATATATCTTAGGTGTTGCCAGATGCTGGATATGTGCTGGAGAAAAGAAACTTGACAGCGATGCGGGAAATAATGCCACAGATTCCGTATACCTTTTGGTTCCATGGCTTCTGTGTGTCGGCCATCCATCACCTTGAAGTCCAAATGACTGAACCGCAGAATCCATGAACTTTGTTCTGAAAATAAACGGATGCCGTTGTTTGCTACAACTTGAATACTCAGGCTACCGTATGTAGGTATGCTGAAGTTGGAGTGCTCATTACTTGGAGCTGGTGTTGCGGGATCTTCACTCGAGGAGAGTCTCGTCTACGATTTAAGTCACCTCAACGGCTGATTAAGACACAGCTCGAGGACCATAATGCTATCAGGAGGAGGAATCTCCCCTTGATCCCTTTGTTAAATGAACATAGCAAGCATGAGTGGTGCATCATCTTCGAGATTGAGCCTTTCAGCCAGAAGAATGGAGTAAAACCTCGTATTGAAATGAGCGCCAGACAATCACCTTGGATGCCAGAGCCCAGCATTTGTCCGAAGCCTCTTTTTCTCAGGTGCGCAACTGATTCATCTAAACTGCCCATACGTCGCACTTCAGGTTCGTGCGTCGCTGGGACCTCGCATCCGGACCTGATTGGCGAAACTCTCAACTTCAGCTGGCCTGAAACTCTTCCCCAAAAGACATGGATGCACTAGAACGGACTTGTTCGGAGCCGCCTATCATGGATATATGTCATTGCTCAGATTTCAACTCTTAGTTTCGCTACCTCAACTCGTAGATATGATTTGGGGCATTCATGCAAGCTCAGTAGACGTCGGTTGTCACCTGGTGTTTGAATACACACTGCCACCTATTTTCTAAACTTAACTTCCTCTCAAGGGCAGCGACAAGAGTCGAGACGAAGAATGAGAAAACAATCCATGAATTTGAACGTGCAATCTCTAGGGAATCTCCTCTAACCACAATGCTGCTCTTCCTACCCAACCGTGGCGATCTAGTCTCTAGAAAATCTCTAGGGGAATGACAGCCTAGACACCTCAATCTCATCTTACTATGAAGATCACGAAAAGGCCGCACAATCACCGGCTCTCGAGCACATCCCAGACAACCTCCTCATGAACAACATGCGTCCCAACACTCAACGCCGCACCCGTCATCAACAACACCTCGCAAGGCAAAGCCCGATCCCCAATCCTCACAGTCCGCCTCCACCCCTCCCCTTCCTTCCACTCCCACCTCTCCGCCGCAACCTCCTCCCCGACCCTCGAAATCCCCTGACAGAACCGCCCCAACCACACAACCATACCCCGCGCCCCGCTCGTCTCGTCCTCGTGCTTGAGCACAACACACTCAACACCCTTCGGAGCCTCGCCGCCCTCGGCCGCGGCACCGACCGGAGGAACCGTAACGGGCTCGACGTCCCTCCACAGCTCTTCGTAATCCGTCTCCGCGCCGGTGGCAGGGTTCACCATCCGTCCCTTTTCGAGCGTCAGCCCGTCGGGCTGCTCGTACATGTCGCCCTCGTCGGCCGCGTTCTCGGGCTCCGTCGTGCGCGAGTCGATCCAGTGCTCCCAGCGCGAGTGGCGCACCTCGGCGCCCTGGTCGTCGGTGCGGGCGGACGACGACGAGGTCCCTGCGATGCCCCATTCCAGGCGCTCGATGCCGTGCGTATCTTTGTGGGTGTTAGCTCTGGAGTTGTCTGGTAGTCGCGGTGGCTTTTGGGGGTCCTGGGCCAGGTCGCGTGTGAAAAGGACGTTGGAATTTACCTTGCACGCCATCGACGGTTGGCGTTTGCTTCAGAATGCGGAGGTCCACGAAACGGCGCTGCGGGGACGTGAGCACTATGGTCGAGGTCGGCTCGCTCGCCTCATCGGGGATCCAGCGGATATGCTCGCGGAACGAGATACTACCCATGATGATGAACGAAACTTTAAAGGATCTAGAAATTGTGTCTATGCTGCAAATGACAACGGTTCACACTTGAGGTTGCGCGATATGCAACATTAAAAGGCAAGGCTATGTGGTGGTGGTGGTGGTGGTGGTGGTGGTGGTGATGGTGGGGGAACAAACAAGGTCACACGGGCAAGGCGTTGATTGAATCGTCGATGTCGCGCAGATCTCCACTTTCAGCCGATGAAAAGCCTCACGCCGTCATCGCCCGTCGATCCGGAGCCTCCCTCAGATCTGAGCGCTTCCAACGGCTTTTCAGCCCGTGAAAATACGTTACTTGGGAACCTTGATTCTCTATGTGAGGTCTATGATCTAAATCTATGTGTAATGTCTTGTGTTTTTACAATCCGTCCCTTCTCTCACACACAATCGCGCTTCTTGCGGCGAAAAGGCAGTGACGCGCCATCCCAAATCATCACGCCTTACGCGGCCTTCTCGAGACGCTCGACAATGTCGACGAGACCCTTTGCTTTTTCCTCGCAGTCAATCTTGCTCTGTTCTTGCGCCTCGTATGTCTCCCGTAGCCGGTCGACCATGAAGGGCTTCAGCGGCGCCCTCTTGGCGGTCTTGTAGTCGTAGACCACGATATCCTCGAAGCAGCGGGCGGCAGGGCGACGGTGGCCCTCGGAGATGAGAAGAGCTTCAAGTAGGATGAAATCTGATTCGTATGTCGGCTTGGAAACAAGCTTATGGAGGACCGTCACGTGGTCTGGGTAGGCCATTGGCTTCACATTGGTTGTCAGTGTGAGCGATTCAGGTGTTTTAGACTCAACCGCCGCGGCGCCCAAAATACAACGACTTTCGGTTCCTGGTCGTTCCAGTTGATGAGAGTGTCACTCACAAACTTGTAGTCCGTTTTGATGCTTCTCATGATGAGGCCAATGTCCTTTGGGCTCATGAGCTGGTCCCACTCATCCTTGTGCTCAGGATCCACCGTCGTCGCAAAGTTACGAAGCCAGTTGACCCGCGCCGACTCGGCGTACTTGTTGTAGACGACATTGTTTACATGACCTACAGCTGTGAGATTGAAATTCATGGTGTATTCGGGGTGCGAGCCATACCCTGTAGTACCTTATGTCAGTTTATTGTCTCCCTTCCTTTGGGGAGTCAGGCTCCGGTTCAACTCACCATTGCATCCTGATTTCCATCACAATCAGCACCCAATTCATCTCATCCCTTGAAAACTCATGGTGTAACAGGAACTCACCTGGTCTCCCCAAGTCACTGTATGTCTGTCAAGGCCCCTCCACCCGGGACCGGTGAGGTACCCCTCCCGTCCGGCGAGCAACTCCAACCACTGCCCATCGACAGCCTTCCGCAGAGCCGTCAACTCCTCCTTCTGCTGCTCGCTAAGGTCGAGCCCGGCGCACCGCTTGATGCGCGACTGCAGCTCAGAAAGCCATCGTGGGTTCAGCGGTGGCGCAGACGCTGGAGATGAAGTAGCGGCGGCGACACTCTTTGCAGCGGTGGTCACGAACGATCGACGGGTTGTTTGAAATGTCGAGAGGCGGACCAGGCCGGGGCTGAGGACAATTGAGTTGCGCATTTTTGAGTTGCTTACTGCGGGTATCTATTGAAACGTAAAGCGAAGAAACGGAAAAGAGAATGCTAGCGAAGCACGAGATGAAGAATCTGATTACAAGTCCGGCGAAAGGTGGATGGCGGGAAAGTGAGGAAATTCGGCTTCCGTCGGCTACGCGTTGCGAGTCGGTGCAGAATAAGGGAAAGTATCCCGTAAGATGAGGTAATCTGAGTACACGCCGGGTGGAAGTGGATGTTGGAAGTTGAATTTGACCTGAAGGCTGGCCCTTTCCAGCGGGTTCTTGTTGCAATTCCCGGCCTGCGTTATTGCCGCCCGTTGGCTTGGGTCGGTAGTTGGAGCGCGCCCATTGTGCTGGTAAAGAGCCATAGGGCGTGGGGGGTTCCGGCTCGGACTTTCGGTACGAGGTATTTCGACGTAATCAAGCACCTTATTCAGGTAACTTGAAAGGGTTTTCCTTAGAGAATGAATATACCTATGTATCTATTTGCATAAAGCAGGTGCAGAATCGCAACTTCTACGATGAAGTCAACATGAGAGTTCCATCAGATGCGGTATCTTTAGTAGGGCGAGCTTGCGTTCTTACATTCTCGCTGTGCCTCTATTCGATCCCGGGCCCATCTGGCAGGGTCAATGATTCACACCTCCAAGGCCCGGAGCCCAGGTTTAGTAGTGAAGCTTCTTCCCTAGTAGCACCGTGCGTCTGCCGCTTGATGAGAAGGGACCGATCATTCTTTTGCGGTCTTTAGCTCTTGATCTACTCATTTCGAATTACCCAGACCGAGATGATAGAATGGATGCGCCCAATAAGCCACATATCACCTTGTAGCAAGCTCTTGAGTTTCGCCAAGTGAGGTTGGAGTTTACCTTTGGTTTGTGGCGGTGCATGCGATGCAACATTGGCAAAACCCCTCCATCTCTCATGGAATCAACAATAATCATGTCAAGTGTCCCCTGGTATCTCGTAATGTTTGTGTCGCAAACGCAGGCCTCGCTGAAGATTTGTCTTTGTTGAACCGAGGCAGTGATGAAAGCAGCTACCAGGAACCCCCCCTGCTGCATCCGTGAGACGCGCTGGAGGGTTTTGGCAAGGGGCCGAGTGCATGCCCATCTCTAGGACCCTGAGAACAGCTGAGGTAAGCACGCGTGCATTATATAATCGAAATATGGAGCTTCCTTGCTTACCTAAGTGAGTATCTTGGTGAAGTAAGGTAAGCTACATGAGGAAGCAGGAACCAACCAAGCTGCCTCCTGCTGGCAGTTGCGTCCTGTGCGGCGGGGGGAACCTGGGCGGAAGGCAGCTCCGAGCTGCAACGGGAACGGTGGTCATAGCTTCCTCCTCCTCCTGCCTTGCCTGCCCCACCTTCCAGATCAGGGAGGACGCCGGACCGACCAACGACACTGCAGTTTGCCAGCGCGCAAAAAAGTGTCCAGTGCGTCTTCCTGGGCGGCGCATCCGGTTGACGCGTCTGTCCGGCTTGAACTCTTTGCAATGGTCTCGTCAGCATAGACGGCATGCAATTTGTAGACGGTTCATACTTTTGTTTTAGATCTACTCTACTCGGTTATTGGTGTTCTTATGACTCTTTCGACGTGATGATCGTTCTGTAGGCGGCTGTGAAGAGGGAAAGGGGGACCCTTGTGGTACACGCGTCAAAAGTCAAAACAATGAAGTCGCAGCCTCGTACGAGTATCTGGACCAACTGCAATGCAGTCAAACAGACGGTAGAATGCAAAGCTCCTGATCAAGAGTACTCGATTTGGGACCTTTGAAAGCAAGAGTCTCACTGCACCCCCTGTCATATCTTGTGAGTGAATCGCGCGCGAGAAGGCAGGAAGGCGATCGTTCAGCGAGGCTACCCGCGTGCCTCGCCCGCGAACATCCGGTCCCTGTCTATCAGACCGAGCGCCTACCAAGAAGAGTACAAAGTCGGTAGTTTCGCAGAAATACTCAAAAGGACTTCCTGCAGATTGAAATACTCACGGATTAATACCATTGACGATGTGTTTCGCGACGCAAGGTGCTTGCTGCTAGAAAGCAGCACCACGTGACACATGCTTTCCTTCCCCCTTTCTTTACTGCTAGGAAGGTCGCAAGACTTGCTATAGCTGCGTTGCCAATATTATCTCTAGATTGGTATCGATATCTCTTGACTCATTCTCTTAATCAGGCTCGACAACTGTTTGTAAGTTTCAGACAAGTTGACGATGTGTTGGCCATGGTAGTTTGCGAGGCGGTGACGGACACACGTGTTCTGCTCCTCCACCTTGGGCAGACATGCGTCAATCTGGAAGCGCCAGCCCGGACAAGAGCAATTTCGATGAAAAGAGAAAGAAAAAAAGTGACCAGATAAAAAATTAAACCTCAGAAGTTCACGGCGGAAATTTCATCATCTTTCACTAGTGTGCAGCGATGGTATCCCGCTTTTGGCTGGAAGCGCTGGCAAAATGCGAATAGCTTCCATCGCGTCTCTTGCACTGGATTGAATTATTGGCGCTGGTGGCACGAAACCAGCTCCAAATTGCCCATAATCCCATGCATCGATGGGAGTGGTCACTGTGATACCATAGAAGACGTGATTGACGAGTTTAGGCAACGGGATGGCCGTAGGCACGCGGATGAGGCGATGCACCTCATTTTACCGGTCGCGTGGCCCCATCACGATGGCATGAAACGATATACTCGGTGTAAGTCAAATCGGGCTAGGAAAATGATAGAAATTCAACAAAAATATCGCCGAGCAGATTGTCGACCAAGATGATGGAATCCGGTGTTTCCTTGATAAATTTCGGGGTGCTGTTGATGATTGTAACGATGGTGGTGCAAGATGTGCGGATAGCTTCAATTTGGACGAAGCGCGACCGAATCACAACAGTCGGGGTCGGGGGTTGGGAATGTGCGCGCAATATCAGAGCCGCAACACGCGATAAACAGAGGGAAAAGTGCATCAAACGATGGAGAAAAATTCGAGCAACAAAACAAAACAGTTAGCGCGAGACGAAACCGAAAGACAGAGGCATCAGAGCGGATGCGACGGATGGCATTGACGGTCGGGGGTAAAAACGAAGATGGGCGATGATGCAAAATCGGGCTTCTCGGCGGGGGAAAGGCGTGAGAATGGGAGGGAAATTGCTGCCGGGTCGGAGGACGGTGGATCGGCGGGCGCAAGACTTAAAAACGTGGCAACGGCGAGCCATGAGTCATTTTTTGTAATGGAGGGTGAGTAAATGGGAAGAAGAGGGAATCAAGAGGGAAGAGAAAGAGGAGAAGGGCGAGGAGAGCAGAGGGTGGTTGAGGTGGGCGATGAGAATGAGTTTGGTGGGAGATGGGAGACCCGCGAACGTGTGCGGCATCAGAGAGCAGCAGGGACGACGGAGCAACAGGGGACTGAGTGAGCACTCGGGACGGGGAGGGGAAGGACCAACGGTCCACGGTCCACGGGGGAAGCAGGCACGCTGGCGGCAGGACCTCACGGCGAGGAATATTTGGACCAATCAGAAAAAAGGAAAGTAGACGAATTTTGGAAAATAAAAAGGTGACAGAAGGGAAAATGGAGGATGAGGTACAAGGGCGATGTACCTTTTGTTTGCCTCTCCGTCCCGTCTGGTGCTTTCTGAATTCTGAGGCAATTGAGCGTGGCAGAAAACATGGCAGTTTGGATGGGAAAGAACGGGCGGGTGGTGCATGTGGCAGGTGCAGGTGCAGGAGCCAGGAGCCAGGCGGGGACCCGGAGGAAGGAGGGAAAGAACCATGCACCTCCTTCTTAAGATTCTGGGACCGGCTGATCTTGAACTGCCCGGCGGGAGGAAGGCGCAGAGAAGGTGGATGATTGTACACCTTCCTCTGCCCTGTGTCCACCATCGAGGGCAGGAACTCGGGGCGTTGGGCTAATGGAAGGTAGGCACTGCGGCTATGGCTCTGTCCTACGTACCTTGCTTAGTAGGCATCTCACTCCATCGTTCTTAGGCAGTTCTCGTGAGGTGAGTCTCATCTCACAGACTCACACACCTCAAACTCACTAGGAACGGCAGTAGAAAAACACCAGAAGACTACCCTGGTCCTCTTAGGGCAGATGACTGGAGCACCCGTTGAGGGGTGCAGCGTGGCACCTGGCGAGGGGAGATGTGCTGGAACCTCCCACTATCCACACGACAGCACTCACTATCCGCAAGGAGGAGTGCGGCGTGCCTTACATGGACCCTGGGGCGGACAGGGAAGACCTGGGGCCCGTCCAGGGTATGACGGCGGAGACGACAGAAGCCTCAGAAGCTTCATGCATAGCCTGGAGCTTGGGGCTTGGGGAGCTCGAGTGCTTCCGGCGACGGAGGTGAACTGGGCTGATTGATCTGAGCTGAGCTTCCTTGGTTGAGATGAGAGGTAAGGGGCGCTGCTTGGCCGCCGTCCGCGTCTTCCACCAACTCAAAGGGCAGCCCGTTCGACTCGACTAACCGTTACCGTTTGTTTATCAGAACAATAAGAGATGGCACTTGACAATCTAAACGTCAAAATGGATACCAGAGAAAAAAGGACTGGTCCATTATCAAAGGGGCAGAAGAAAGAGGCCGTGGACCGAGGCGAGTAAGGCCGTGCTGGAATCTGTCACCAGCCGAGGATTTCTTAGAACACCCACCATACCATCGCGGCGGCTGTAGTCCTGGACACGTCCAAAATAGACACGCACGTCTCTCCCGCTCCCGCACTAAGCGGCGATTTGAGTCGAACAAGATACTCCGCCGACGGATGAGGGCAATGAGGTTGATTTGGGAGTGACGCGGGAAGAGACGAGAGACACAATGAGATGTGGAAAGTCGAGACAAGCAGACGTCAAAGGGCATCATCTCAAAGCTGGGGCGCTATGGCATGCTGTTGTCTATCCGGACACACCACAACCAACTCGACGTACGCGTAGAGCTGTCAGGCTGTGGGAATACGCCATTCATAGTCATGGAGAGAAGCACCCTTGCGACTTCCCCGGGCCCTTGCCAGATCCAACGGCAGACAGCTTTTGAAGTTTATTCTAGGCTACCGTGTTCATTTGATGGTATCATTGGCGTGTGAAGCAGACAAGTGAGTGAGATGCGAGGAGAAGAAAAGGGAACGAGGAAAGAAAAGGGTGCCATCTTTGAGGGGGGGGGGGGGACTCTGGAGTGAGTGAGACGCGAAGTGAGAGAGAGAAAGAAAGTGACTGAAGGTTGAGAGGGGGAAGGCCCAAGGCCCCCCAGTCCGCGTGATTTAGCGACCATCCCCCCCAAAATGGACGGGGGATTTGGAGGGCCCAAAAGGCACCCGCACCAAGCCAAGAGGGAGGTGAGGGGATTAGAAAAAAAAAAGAAGGCACCTCAAGGCTCACCCTCAAAAAAATCCAACGCCCGCGCCCGCGCCCTCAGGTCGTCTCCCCAAAAGTTACTGATTGCGCACCGCGCCCAACGGCCCCCGCCCATTTATAAAAACAAGCCCCATCCCCTCCACGCACGCGCTCCCCTCCACCCTCTCGTTCCGGACCTCTTCATCTCTTGCCTCTCTCAATCACCACAACGCGTCGATTTAAATTCTTGCAACTTTTCTCAAAGTACACCAGTCTTCAAACCGACTTCAATCGACATTTCGATTGAATCCTGCTTCCAAGCAACCCTTTACGCTTTACGCATCCACACAACCCCCCAAAACAGTCACAATGCCTCCCAAGAAGACCGAGGGCGCCGCTGCTGCCCCCAGCAAGAAGTCCACCCACGCCAGCTACCAGGTTTGTACCTCAACCAGTCCGGCTTTTTGCATGACGCGTTGGTTGCTAACTCTCTACAGGACATGATCACTGATGCTATCGTTGCTGTATGTTTTACCGCTCCTCCATCTCCGGCGCAAAGGGTTACGCGATCGGAGGACCCACGAGCTGGGTCAGCTGCCATTCGCGCCTAGCGCCCGTGACCTTCGATCGCGCTACCCTCCACCGCCTCGACGATGGTCCACCTATTCTTGTTTTGCCTTTAATTGACTCACCTTCCCTCCTACAGCTCAAGGACCGTAACGGATCTTCCCGCCAGTCCCTGAAGAAGTACGTCAAGGCCAACAACCAGATCAACACCGTCAGCGACAACATGTTCGACTCTCTCTTCAACAAGGCCCTCCGCGCCGGTGTTGAGAAGGGTGTCTTCGAGCAGCCCAAGGGTATGTCACCGCATGCCCGCCTCTTTATATCTTTGAAAAAAATACTAACGTCCCTCAAGGCCCCTCCGGTGGCACCAAGCTCGCCAAGAAGGCGCCCAAGCCTGCGGAGAAGAAGGCCCCCGCAAAGAAGGAGGCCAAGGAGCCTAAGGAGAAGAAGGCTGCTGCGAAGAAGGAGACCAAGGAGCCCAAGGAGAAGAAGGCTGCCGCTCCCAAGAAGGCCGCCGCCAAGAAGGAGACCAAGGAGGCGAAGGAGCCCAAGGAGAAGAAGGCCGCTGCCCCCAAGAAGGCTGCTGCCGAGAAGAAGGAGAAGAAGCCTGCCGCCAAGAAGGCTGCCGCCGTATGTTGACCCCTTACCTCTTTCTCGTTTGCCCAGCACTGACATATCTCAAGGCCAAGGAGGAGAAGCCCGCCGTCCTCAGCAAGACCAAGACTGGTCGCGTCACCAAGACTGAGAAGAAGGCACCGGCCGCCAAGAAGGAGGCCAAGGAGCCCAAGGAGAAGAAGGCCGCCGCTCCCAAGAAGGCTGCCGCCCCGAAGAAGGCAGCGCCCAAGAAGGCCGCCGCCGACAAGAAGGAGGCCAAGGCTGAGGCTCCCGCTGCCACGGCATAAGGGGTCACTCTTACCTTGTTTCCCTTACCTTGAACGATGATGCAATGTCGAGTAACTCTACTCGGCTCTCCGCACAACTGTTTTTGTGTCACGAAATCTTGTCGAAAGGCGTTTACGGGAGTTGTTATTTAACTAACTGGGAAAGGGCAATGGGCCGGGAAGCGTTGGTGGGAAACCAACCTGGGGGGGGAAAACGCAACTGCGTTGTCTTGTTGTCTTTGTTTTTGTCTTGATGGTCTTTTCTATATGTTGCGGTTGCTTTTGATCGAGCGCGACGCGTGATTGGGGGGCTTGGGATTGTGTTGAATGCTTTGAGAGAGAAGATTCCCGCTTTGGCGACACGAGAACGGATTCCCCCTTCCGACTACTGTAACTATAGCTCGCGCGATATACCAACGATGGGAGCCTTTCACTGTTCATGCGATGTTCTCCTGATTTGTGCAATTCTCGTAATGTGAACTGGCGCGTCTTCGACGACCTGGAAAGACGGCAAGACCGAGTAAAGGTAGAAAGTTCGCTCAGGGGCACGGCAAATGCGGCGATTCGCTTGCAATTACCGGGTGGCACTGGAAGGAAATGACATTACAGGATACAAATTGTTTACCATCTTGTTTGATGCTCGCCTGGGTCTTGGCTGAGCTTCCGGGTACGGGAACGACAATCTCTGACCAAGTCGCGATAAGAACGGGCAGCAGCATGGAAAAGGGAGAAATTGGAACAGAACGAGCTGAGCTGCCGCCGCGCCGCTGTACTCTGAGGAGAATGAATGTCTGAGAAATCGAGGACGCGCCGTGAGAACCGGAGACTGGGACCCTGGGCAGGGTACCGTCACCGTGTTTCTCCCCCATGGCAGTTTCGGAGTGGAGCCGACGCGGTTCATCCTTCCCAGGGTCTTTTTTTTTTCTCTCTTGTTTACATTTATGGACTTTTTTCAAGCCCGTCCCGTCCTCTGACCTTTTCTCTTCCTCCGGTTCCGTGTGTTGATTTAACCGCCGGACGGGCCACCGCGTCGCTGGAGAGGAAAGAAGTAGGAATAGATAAGGCTGCGAGGGAAGGCTAGCTTGGCTTGGATACGGGGGAATGTGAGAGGCTTGAGAGCTGAACAGAGTCCGTGCCGTTGGTGAAGTTGTCACGTGCGCGCTCTCTCATTTCTTATGGCCTGGCAGCGCGGAGGAAGAGTGCTTCTTCGTCTTTTCTGGGTGGGTTTGCTTTGGATTACAGATCGATCTATAGCTGAGTAAACATGTTTGGATGTGTGGTATTATTCCAGCTGTAGCGGATTTGGGCGGCATTGTGGTTCTTGGCTGATGTTCTGAGTTGACCCTGTACCTTACCCCTCCTCTGGCTTATAGTCACAATACAGTGGGTGAGACGTTTTCTTAGTGGTCTGACTCTGGGACCGGACGTGACTTGGTCTGAGACGAGGCGCGCCCGTCGCCGGTGATGGTCCTACAGTCTGGCATAGAATAGTCCCGTCGAGCTATGCGGTTCTCTACGAAAGGCATTCCAAGGAGATTTGTCTTGTATCGCTATCTGCGATTCTGAAGTGCGAAAGAGGTAAGAAGATGAGAAAGTATGAGTGACCGTAGTCCTCGGAGAAGAGATGTTTCGCCGCTGAGCTTTTTCCTCATGTAGATTGTCCATGGTTTGAGTCGTGAGTAAGGATTTGTTTGACCAGCTTTTCGGGTTGGGGCCAGCCTACGTGCCCGTCTTACGTACCATGTAGGCGTGTCGGGCGGTCATTCAGCGTATTTTGAGTTAGGAGAGGATACGGGGATGGACGGCCTAGACGGGTTGACACGTGCGATGAGGAGGAGATGGTGCCACACTATGTGCTGGTTGTTGATCCTGAGGTGAGGAGTGGTGCTCACTAAGGTAGGTATGCCGTGTAGGAGAGCACAGCTGGTCATGGTGTTCGTTACTTGCTCTTCTTTGCAGATAGCTAGCCATATAGTGAGTCCCATCGACGGTCAGTGATTCGTATAATCGAATGTTTAGCAGAAGGACACTGTGGATAGATAAGTGAGTCCTGTGAAAAGGAGGCCCGGACGTGCTGGGTAGAGATTATCACGTGGGCAACGGTGAAGAGTGCCGTTGGAGTGTTTGACAGCGTCGTGCCCAGTGTCTACGCAGGAGTAGGATAGGCCAGAGGGATGGAGGAGTCTGAGAGGTGGCGGTGCGGGGAAACGCCTTGGGGAGAGAGGAGACTGAGAAGAAGAAGAGATGGAAGGGACAGCGTCACAGGCAGTTGTAACAGCGTCAAATGTCGAGCTCGGAGCTTCCTCTGGGACGGCGAACAGAGGCGGAGAAGTTGGCCGCGGCTCTTCCGCTGGCCCCTCTCTGTGTCCATCTCCCGCTGTCTCTTCTGCTGTCTCTGTGTCTAGGAGTTGTCACCTTGCCGATGTTGGTGCAGGTACGAACACATGTTGCGTATCGTGCGGTGCAGTGAGGTGTGAGGGAAAGAACCTTGAGACAGGTGTACCGGAGATGTCGCTCGGCATGAGGTCCGGGCTGCCAGCGCGTGAGCAAGTGGTGCAGAGCAGTGCGGTGCGGTGCGGTGCGGTACGGTGCATGTTGCAGGTGTCCAGTCATCAGTGGACCAACGGGCTACGGTGACTTCCCAGGTTGGATGACAAGGAGTGACGTGGATAGCTAGCCCCGAGCTTGCTTTCCCATTGGTGTTCCTGAAACAAACCTAGATGTTTTGAGGGGGGAACGTTGGGCAACTTGGTGCTCAGCACGCAGTGAAGGTGTACGTACAACGTGGAGGCGCATCGCGGTGAGGTAAGCAGGGAGGGGGGGGGGGGGCAGAGGCGAGGAGACAAGAGACAACCTGGGAGCTGTGAGTATGAGATTCGGACTATCCGTATAAGCATCTGGCTAAGCACTGCTAGAGTATCTCAGACAACTTGGGTGTCGGTGTGGTATATGCCCTCACCTGTTGATCCGTACACTTACACTCCGTGACTCTGTACTCCGCACACAGCAGTCTTGATCCATGTCCCAGGATCCCTGTTGTCAATCCGGAACGGCTTGAGCGACAGGTGCAGGGGGCAACCGTACAGTTGGGGGCGACGCGGCGACGCCCCGGCATGTCGAGGATTGAAGGGAATGTGATCTGAGCGTTGAAGGGTCCCGTCACGGCCGTCGTACGAGTGCAGTCACGTACGGGGACTATGGAGGAGGGTTGATGGTTGTCCTTGCCATGAAGAGTGAGGCGGCACATTCAGGTCTTTGCAAAGAGTGACCCTTGATACTGAGGGAAGGGTCTGAAGAACGGGGAGTGAGATGCGAACACAACCCAAGAAACACAGGTCACCGTGAGGCATAAGATCATGCGTCTGTGAGCTATGAAATGTGAGTGGTAAGTAAGCCTCTGTATGAGTGAGAGAGCATTGGTGAAGGAATGAGTGAGTTACCGTAGAAACTCGAGCACTTCAAACTTGCGTTAGCCCGTGCCAACCCTGCTAGCTGTCTATACCAAACCTCTTCGGGGGGTCAATTATATTCGATTATATAATCAACCATACCGTATATAGAAGGCGGTAAGTGATTATTTTCCATTTTTACTCCTGCCCAACTGCCTCCAGCCTCGACGGCGAGCTCTCATTGGCCCAATCAATTGAAATGTTGGCGTACGCCAAAAACGGGTGGCGGCCGCATTTGACCACTTTGGGCAGTATTATTATTCTGCCAGAGCGCTAGCAGGGTTGGCACGGGCTAACGCAAGTTTGAAGTGCTCGAGTTTCTACGGTAGTGAAAGAGAGAGAGAGAGCATGATCTGGCTCGTGCGCATCCATCCTCCCGTCCGTTTCGGGGTATGTGGGGGAGAGTGTTAGGTGCTGAGGCCAGCTACCTACGGTGCCGGGTACGGAGTACTTGGCAGCATACATGTTGCTTGTACCTTTCTTTAACGATACCTTCCCTTGGGTACTAGTTGATGGCAGATGCTCTTTCCTCGATGGTGCTGACAGGAAGGAAGGGCAAGATATGAGGAGGAACATCGAACATCGCCTTCTCTCTTTCTGCCTGCCTCCTACTGCGAAGTACTTGCGTCAGCCTCAGTCATTCTCCTGATCCACCAGGCTCGACTCTCGAGGCAACACCTTAGGGGACAGAGCTTGCATCTGCAGCTGCCTTGGCTGGAACAGCAGAGCTGCACGTCTGGAACTTGTTCTCCCCCTCACCCTCTGCCTATGAGCAAGTACCCGTCACTCCCTATCAGCTTAGGTACCTGCACCTGTCATTACTGTGTAACAGAGGTACCGGGCTGAGGTGGAAACAACCAACCGGCCTTACCTGGACTCGGGCGATCTAAACGGGACAGGACGACACCAAACGGGCTCCTCTTCTTCATCATTTCCCCTTGCCATTTGCGAATACTTATGTACAGTCTTATGGAGTACATACGTAGGCAATTAGGTACCTTACTTACCGCCCGCCGCCAGGTTCCATCGGCCTCCATCAAAAGTGTCGTCAATTATTACCACACACTGAACACAACCCACCTCACTCTTCGATAACTTCCATCGATAGCAAGGTACCTTACCTACTTTGCGATCATCGATAAGCAGATAAAGCCCCCCTGGCGCTTGTCTTATCCGCTCCCGCATTGTATCGAATCGCACCGTGCCGTCCCCTCGGACTGACGTCTTGTTTCTGTCCAATCTCATCTCATCATCCACCAACTCCTCCGTCCCCCGACACGTCCAGTCCAGTTCAAACCCAACATCTATCCGCCAGCACCAGCACCAGCACTGCCACTACGGACAGACACCACTTCTCTCCCCACGCCGTGCCGTACTGCTGCGTCTACCAATAGTACCCTCGTACTTTAGCTTGTCTACTCTCATCGTATCTACCAGCACTTATCAGCACATCCTCATCCATAACCGCTGCTCATTCTCAACCCAACAGCATCCCTCGGCGACTTGGTAAGCACCAGAACGTGGACCCCTCGTTTTCCCCATTGGGCTGCTCGTCATCCCGAACCCGAACCCAATCAGTCCGCCCTTCCACCGTCCCTTGCGGCTCAAGTGCTTGCCAACCGATTCTTCCGGTCAACGAAACTGACGCTCGCCCGCAGTACCCGTGGCCGCACCCCGTACCCCGTACCAGTAACAGTACCAACCAGTACCTGACCACCAATAACCCCTACCCCTCGATCTACCCAGCGATCCATCCGAGACCCTCCGCCTGCCCAGCCTGTCTATCCTCAGTCGAAACTCCACGAATTCGAACCGCCTATCGAAACTTCGTCGTAGTTGTAGAGGTCGTCGTCGTCGTCGTCTTCTTCTTCGCCACACCACTATACATCGACAGCTTCCACCCGGCGATTACGACATTGTCCGCGTCTCGCTCTGCCGGGACCTGGCCATGGCGGCTGCCTAAATCCTCCCTCGACAGGATTGCACGTTACAAGATAAACCCGCCTATTCCGAGCCTTTGCCCGTCGCAAACATGGCCTCCGAACACAACCCCTTTCGAAGGAAGTCTGCTTCCACCTCGCTCTCCATCTCTACGCCCCAGCCAGTCTCTACATCGGCCTTTCTCGAGTCCATCACTTCCGGCATCTCGAGGCAGAATGGCCCCCCACCCCCCGAGGCCCGGCCGGCCAAGCCAAAGGTCGTGAAAAAGGTTAGGGTCCTTTCGCCGCCACCGTCGTCTCCCTCGTCCCCAGAATCCGTACACAGCAGGGGCTTTGGACGCCAGAACGACAGCAGCGACGAAGACTCCCACGACGAAGACGACCAATTCTCAAAGCGGTTTCCCGAGCTTCCCGGTGGCCTCCCCGAGGCTGCGCCGCTTCGCATTGCCAACGCGAGTAATACCCCCGACAATCCCTTTGGCAAGACGCTACAAGATCTGGAAGGCTTGACGGACGTGAAGCCTTCATCTGGCGGATCGACCAAAGCCATGGATGTCAACGCCTTCAAGATGCTGTTGCTCACTGGCCAGGCTGGTGCTGGAACACCGCCCCCGCAGACATCAGTGTCACAGGGAGACAAGGCGCCCGGTGCATCACACGCCGCACCTGAGCCAGAAATACCGCGGACGTCACAAGATATCGCGGATCGCGGCGTTGACGACCAACGTTCTCTTCTGGCACATTCCCCATCCGTGAAGAAGAAGCCTCCGCCGCCTAGCTCAAGGCATGGTAGGAAGATTAGCGTGCAGACTTCAGGTCGTCCGCACATCTCCTCCGAGACCGCGTCGCCCATCTCTCCGTCTGACGTGAACAAGCCCCTTCCGCCCGCCCCAAGCAGTCACGGCGGGGATGACACGGAAGATGTTTTTGCCCGTGAAGCTGCTGGCAAAGTCCCGGAGCAGGACTCCCCCACACCCAGCTCAATACCTACCCCGGCTCTTCCGGCGACAGGCAAGAGACCGACACCTGCCCCTCCACCACGGCGGGGTCACGCACGGAGCCAGTCCTTGACAGCCAATGCTGGGGTCAACGCTCCGAGTGTACCAAGTTACGAGGCCGACACGCCGCCTCGCTCTTCGTTGGAATCGCAGCGCTCCAGATCAGAAAGTTTCCGAAGCATCAATGCTCCGGCTCCGCCTCCACCTCGGCGCCCGCACGCATCCCATCGACAATCATTCCAACTAGCGTCGCCGTCAAGTGGTTCATTTTACGGTGCCAGCCCAGCACCATCTGATATCGACACTTCTATTCATGCTACGGAGCATACTCCTCCCAAAACTTCACCTCCGCCACCACCACCGGCACGGAATACTTCCATACGCCGGCCTCCCAGCGTAAGGAGCATTGAAGCCCCCAGCAGGAAGATCAGTGGAGGCAAGGAGAATGCTCCCCCCCCACCACCACCACCACCACGCCAGAGGGGCAGTAGTCGCGGAAGCATGGACGGATATGGTATGAGGAGGACGAGCATCGATAGCACTAGGGCCATGGGCAGCAACGTTCCAGAAGAGCCCACCGCGGAGGATGATGCACAGCAAGAGTACGACGCAGCTAAGTCAGGCAAGGGTGCGGATATTCTCGCCGACCTGGATGCTCTACAACGAGAAGTGGACGCCCTGAGGGCAGCACAGGGCAAATAGGGGCACGACCAAGGCGCTCTATAGATGATGGGAGTTGAAATAGACAGCAGTCCTGGACGGACTGACACGCCCTGGTGGGGCGGCTGGGTTATCTTAAATGAGCATTGTACATTTACGCACGTACTGGGATACGATATGAAGTAATGGAATGTTTATGAGTTGACATTTGTGGTTCACTATGCAACGGGCCGTTCGACCTGCGTTCCAGTTGGCTGGATCCGCGAGAGTTTGGCCACAGCCCCTGAGCAACCAGTGGTCCTTGATTTCGAGTTTGATGAGAAGGATCCGGCGTAGGCCACACGAGTACGAGGAATTGAGTTAATGGAGATCCGAGAAGTCAAAGATGATAACAGAGCACAGGACACCACGTACGCCAGAATGAGACGGCATGCTATTTTCGGCGGCCGCGGCCGGTCCTCTAACACCCCGTCGGCGACCTAGGAGAAAACTCCGTCGGAGCCTGAGGCGGACTCTGAGCCGCCGTTGAGGCTGGTGGCATGCATGAGGGGCGGAGGAGAGCTACGGAGGTTCGTTTGAGAGACAACATGGACGAGGCTATCTGACGTGTAAAGGTGACATGAGGATTGTGGTGTCGTCGGGGACTTGGCGAGGGACTGGAATCTCGTGTAGGTGTGTAGGATGTGGGATATTGGGGGTTCGTGGTGGTGGTGTGTACGTGATTTTGCGTTTTACGTGGGCCTTTTTGTGGTTGCTTTGTCCGCTGCCCGTGGGACGGTATGGATATATAGAGTTCTTGGAGAGGTGCGGTCTAAGAACTCTCAGAAAGCTTGGGTCTCTTGACTGGTGAGTTCTTGGGGGCTCCCGAGGTAAGTTGATGTTGAAGGTTTGGGTAGCTCTGTTGTAGAAGTATTGGGTTGTCAAGGTGGGGTGAAGTATTGGATGAGAAGACCAGTGATTTCCTTCTCTCGCCTGCTCTTGTGAGTTATTGGATTGCGATAGTAGGTCTATCGTTCCGTGTCGCTGTCGGTAGGTATAGTACGGTAGAAAAGAGATAAGTCGGTGTGATGGAGGCCAGTGAAACAGCACCTTTCAAACCGAGGAATATGCAGCGATGAGCCCAACCTACTAATACTCATCGATAGGATTAAACACCTATAAAGGAGGTGCATGAGTGGTGGTGTAGAGTATTCCCCAAGAGAGAGAAAACATGAAGCATCCGAGCGGTCGGTATAAACCTTGAAAGTGGCTGGCAACCACAAGCCTCTGAAGCTTTTCTTCAGAACTCGCCTCACAAAGAAACGTGACTCCCCTTTGTGCGTCTTTTTGACTTGATCTCAATACCGCCGCTTCCCCCTTCACACCTTTCTCGAACCTTGGCTGAGGGAGAGTTTTGATGACATCGCCGGCTGGACTGCACACCGCCCTAACCTACCGTTCGGCATGGGTATCCGGCACGGGGATGTTACCAGGCGCCTCGCGGTGTTTGACTACCTTACCTTATTTCCAGGAGGGCAATTTCAAGAATAGGATCGAAATTTAGGATTCCCCCAATTTGTTAGAATAGAGGGTTGTCTGTCAACTGAGCCTATCGTATGCTTCGGCATTTGCAGCAGGGGCCCCGAAGGAGTTGGTTCCGAAGCTCGAGGAGCTTAGCTTGAGAGCGGATAATTTTGTATAAAGATATCCGTGGTCTTCTTCTCACTCTATCAACTGGGTAAGCTTATTCAAAAATAAAAAGGCATAAAGACTTTCATCTGGATCGCCGGACAGACCAGATACCTCCTGGCACGCACATTCCCCCAACGTCACTCATCATCCAGCCTACCCTTCGCCAGCTCGAACTATTCTCGAGACAGTCAACAGAGCCAAGATGTCATCTCTCATCCGCAACCCGGCTCCCCTGCACCTGAGCCCCGAACTCACCAAGAAAAAGCCCATCATTGCCGGCCCAGGCACAACCGCCGCCGCCGCGTCCTCAAAGTCCCTAAACGACTCAGGCGACAAAGCCAACCTCGTCGAATTCTGGCGCAACCCAGAGGCCGGCAACATCTACCGCCACGCGGAGCACCTCACCTCCCCCGTGACCCCCTGCCTCGTCGACCACTCGCAGCTATGCCAGACCGTGTCCTCGGCGTCGGCCAGCACGAAGACGATCCAGGTCATGGATATGTGCTGCGGTACCGGGGTCGTTTCGTCGCATATACAAAAGATGATGCGGGAGTTGCCTGGGCAGCAGAGGGAGAGGGTGCGGTTGACGAGCGCGGACTCGAGTGAGGCGCAGTTGGGGGTTGTGAAGGAGAAGATTGGGAGGGAGGGGTGGGTTGGGTGTGAGGTTAGGCAGGTTGATATCATGGTAGGCGATGATTCTTGTCCCTGTCACCGATGTGATGGTACGGGAAGAATGTGGCTGACGGGAGCAGAATATGTCGTTCCCCCCTGACCAGTTCGACGTCGTTATCGTCGCCATGGCGCTGATGCTCGTGGCCGATCCATACACCTCCCTCAATGGTAAACTCTCCCCGGTCACGCAAACCGGCTCTAGTCGACAGGCTAACGCGTCCAACAGAATGCTACCGCGTCACCAAACCCGGCGGCACACTCGCAACCTCAACCTGGGTAACAGAAGGCTGGATCTCCGACACCCGCGACGCAGTACGCAACCTCGCCCTGCCAGGCCAACCCCCCGTATCCTGGCCCCAATCCTCCATCGAGCTGACCTCGCTCTGGGGCCCCGGCGCGTGGGAGTCCCCCTCGTTTGTCAAGAGCATGTTCACCGCGGCCGGATTCGTGGACGTGGAGGTGGACGTCGTGACTAAATGGGTGCCATTCTCCGGGGTTGATGAGTGGTGTACGGTTTTCCAGGCTTTTATGCACGGGGTCATGGAGAGGTTCTGGACGAGGGCGCAGAGGGAGGGGTTGAAGGGGCGGTTGATGCCGACGTTGAGGGCGTTCATGGAGGAGAAGTATCAGGGGCGGCCGTTTGAGGTTGAGAGGACTGTTTTGTTGGCTAGGGGGAGGAAGCCCGAGTGAAGATGGGGGTTCGTTGTGTGGTGCGGTGTTGGCAGCTGAACATGGGCTCTGTTTTGTACATATGGGCATGATGGGTAGACATTGAATTCAGGTTGGAACAATTTTGAATGAGGACCATGTTGATTCCCTTGGGGTCCATCTAGCACAGCTTGGACTTAACCAAACTTTTACGGTCAAGGAAGCTGGTGGTACATATTCTACAGTCTACCGTGGTCTTGCTCTCTGATACGTACACGGTATTCGGCCTTTTCATCAGGCATGATGCCGCAACGGGAGCGGGGGGCCAAGGGCTCGATGGAAGCCCATGTCTCGGTAGAAGAAGTAACCCATCTGGTAACGACTTTTGATCACACTTTTCCCACCAAATTGTCAACATAATAATGACTCGGCCCGAGCTGTTCTTCAAACTCAGAAATGCAGAGCCTGCAGATTCTACTGGGCCGAAAACTGCCACCCAATTAGGTAAGTGGTAATCGTCCAAAGCAAAGAAGCTCAATTTTGACCTAAGCATGATAGGCCGATGGCACGGAATCACACACTTATTTAGTCGTTAAGCCTTAGCAAATTACAAGTCGTTCTGTATTTGAGAAGTGCGTCGTGATTACCCGTACTCTTCACGTGATTGTTATTGATATCAAGCAATACAGGGACACAGAGCTGCAGGAATATGGTCGTAAGTGCGTATGGCTATTCTTGTAATAGATCTTGCTAGTTCCAATGTCCGATTTCAAATTCGGCTAACACTTTCTAACGTTATAGCCATGGTCACCAATGCGGCATGTCCGACAAAGCACTTGTGGGCGGCTCATCATCAGCCCCACTACGGCGAAGGTCTCGAATCGGCATACCCAATCTCCGAAGCCCTAACTCGTCAACCTCCATATTCCTCATTTCGTTACAACATCACATCAATCAAATCACGGAAGGGTGGCCGAGTTGGTTATGGCGCCAGGTTAAGGTCAGCTTAACATCTGTTTCCTGGTGGGGCAACCCGCGCGAGTTCGAGTCTCGTCCCTTTCATTTTGCCATTTTGTAGGTGTCGAACAGCTCCAGATTTGCATTTTGGTGACGGATGAGTGGTATTACTTACTTTGGTCTGTCCAAGATGGTTGTATCCCGACACAAGCATGTCGTTGAGCCTGGTTCATCTTACCTACATATAGATAGTCCGTGCTTGGTTGCGGGTGACCACCTGGAAGTAACACACGATGTATTGCGTTTTGATGTACTCGCCCGGTTCATCTACGCAATGTGACAAATCGAAGACTCCTTGTTCCTTTACTCATCATCCTTCGACCGGCCCCCCTTGGTGTAAAACGCACCCGTTGCGGCCCTGACATCCTCAGAGCCTTGTGTCCCCCCTCGGCCTCCAGGCTTGCCCGTCACCGACTGAGGAATCTCGTGACCGGTAGCACTGATTCCCTCGCCCACTCCGGACGCTCTTCCCTCGTTGGTGTTCAATGCGTTGTCTGCGGCGCCGTGCAAAGTTGTAGACCCAAGCCCACCAGCAGCTGATTCCTGCTGGTGCGGGTTGGGAACAGACTTTATGATGTTTTGCTTGCCAGCATCTCCAGGAACTGCGACCAACAATTAGCGAGATTCCATGGCACTACATAAGATGCTGAAAACCTTTGGTTCCGTCCTTAGCCATATCGTAAAGATCGCCTCCTTGCTTTGCGTCTGCCATGATATAGAATGTGTCAGGGAGAATTTTTATGGTTTTAAATATGCTAGGAGTACGTGTGAGCGTGAATGTTTCCTGACAGAAGTAAAAACATACGAGGAACCAATATGTATTAGAATCGAGAGGCCATCCGAGACCTTTAAGATGGTGCTGGGCAAGCCACAGTTGAGGTAGTGAGGTGATTGATGTCATGATGTCATCAAAGTCAATTCATCACCATCATCTCCCTAACGTGACGTCAAACAAGACGGACGGTCAAAGGACCATTTCTTTAGATGATGAAACCTATCGAATTACCTAGCCATATTCGAGTAATGCTAGGACCGCGGAGATAGGCAGATTCTTCTGTTCAATGTATCCAACTTCTCACAGGACTCAGGTTGAGTTAGGCATCCAACTAGTAAGTACTTAGCTTTTTTGTTGTAACAGCGTGAGGCTTCTATACTTTCATGTGATTTGCTTATTACATGACCTCGAACTCGCAGTCAGCTAAGCCCAACTCAGTCAGAGCTTCATGATTCCCAAAGGTAATTTTCGTAAGCCGAAGGCCCGAAGCCCAGCGACCCATTGCCTTCCCTTTGGTGCACAAAGCTCCAAGATATCTATCAGGTCTCTAAGTCTAATGCTTTGGACATAGGTACTCTGTAGGTATTGGGGTATTCTATTAAGCTGATATACTGTTCATGGTTGCTCAAACCATGCTCACCCATCATCATACATCTTGATTTTTCATAATATCAATACATGAGCAATCCACATGACCGTCTCTCACTGCTGAAAGAGTGACAACATCACGCTTGTAACAATTGCCGCCCGTTCTTCTTTGTATATAGACATTAATCGTCATGTTCGGCTTCCTTGACTCCCTGGTTGTTCAGAACCGGCTGATCGCGGTCCAACTCATACATCTTGTCCTCCTCAGCATCGTAGTGGCGGAAGGTGAAGTAGAAGATGCATCCCACCACGGCAGATGAGCATGCAACACCGGTGTACATCCACAAGAACTTGGGGTCTACTGCGACGGACACTAGGGCCTCGGAGATGGCAGAGCCGAAGGCGTTGGTGAAGAGGTAGATACTCTGGACAAAGGACTTCATGTTGGGCGGGGCCTTGGTGTAAGCGTACTCGAGACCGGTGACGGAGATGAAGATCTCGGACAAGCCGATGAAGATATAGGCAGGCGTCTGAACAGCAATATGGACATGGTTAGGGAGCGATGAGCCTCCGCTCATTCCTTCGGGGCACTCGCCGGGAGACTCGTAGCAGGGGCCGGCGCTGTAGATGAGGTGCTGCACGATTGCTGCGTAGGCCAGGCAGATGGCGCCGAGCCAGAAACCGATGGTGATACGCATGATGGGCTTGAGCTCGATGCCAGCCTTGCGGAGGAGCGGGTAGACAATCTTCTCGAGGATCGGGGTGAAGATGAGAATCGAAATGGGGTCGAAATTTTGCATGAAATCGTTCGGCATACCATGTCCCTCCATCTGTCCAGCCTGAGTGACGAAGTTGGTCGAGAACTGGCCATAACAAACCCAGAAGATAGGGTCTGGTAATCATGTCAGCGCGACTTTCAATCATCTGGCTTGTACCAGACATGGCCAGGAATACATGGACTTACAGAAGACAAAAACCTTGCAGGCTCTCAGAGCACGCTTGAGCTCCTCGACGAAGTGATCATTCCAGGGGACAGGCTTCTCCTTGCCGTGCTCCGCACGCCATGATGGCTTAGCGGCATCCATATTGCGGGCTGCAATCATCATGCCAAGGGCCTTGAACGCATCGGTAATGACGGATCCCTGCGGCGGGCGGTTGACGAAAGTCTTGCGACGAAGCACCAATGTTGCGATACCAATGTTGAAGACGCAGAAACACATCAGGTAGGCGGTCCAGAAACCCTTGTACTTCTCCATGAAGGGAGTTGCCATGAGAGACAGAGAACCCAGGTTGATGCACCAATAAAAGATCATGTAGATGCGCTGGTATGTGATGGCAGGATCGATGATGACTCTCTCGCCGTTTGACTCCGTCTTGATAGCCATAACGCGACGCTGGTACTGATCGGCGATCAAGGGAGCGATGTTACTCTTGATACCTCCCGTTCCGAGACCAATAACGATAATGGCAACAATGTAACCGGGGATGCCAGCGCCATTGGCCATGGCCGCTGGCAAGGAAGTCGTCCAAAGGATGACAAGACCAACCCAGTAGAAGGCACAGAAGACCAAGATGGTCTTGTACTTGCCCAAGTACTGGTCAGCAATGATGGCACCAAGAATTGGAGTCACTGAGCACTTGTGTTAGTGAAACCATACTGATCGATGGTAGAGAGTGAGGCGGATAGTGATGTCATACCATAGCAGAACCATTGGAAGAACAAGTTCAGACCAGTTGCGGCCTGGTGACCCATCCCAAGACCCTTGGGGCCGTCGGCTCCATTGGGGTCATTGTTGATGTAGTTTTGGAAGAGACCCTGGGCACCATAGTAGGTGAATCGCTCCGTGAGCTCGACAACAGCAATGAGGAAGGCTGAAGCGGGGAGGTTCTCTCCAACACGACGCAGGGATCCCTTCTCAAACTCATTGGGCTCAGCACCATCAGGCGTAGGTCCCGATTCTGAGTCGGCGGTGCTTGAGAACTTCTTCTCGGGGTCGGCTGGCGTGATGTAGCCTCCCGCAAGATCAGTCGTCTCCTTGTTGGGCAAGCGCTCACCCAACGTCTCATGGAGCCTGCGAATACGAGTTGTCAGTGCCAGATCCTCTTGATGTTAGACCGACGATATGCGCATTGTTACGTACTCTGCGGCCGTGTCCTCGTGGTTCTGGGCCATTTTTACGCAATCGATATCTCAAGACAGGCCCGATAGAGTAGCTGAACCAAGGGAAAAGGAAAAGAGAGGGAGAAGAGGAAGAAATTTTCGAGAAAAGTTCCAAAAGCCTGGCCTGGTGGGGAGCAATGGAGACACATTAGTATCACCACTAGATGCATGCCCTTACCCTCGGTGTCGGACGACTCCGAGGTGTTCGCCGCCCGCGGCCCATGTTTCGATGTCTTCTGTTTCCACTAGAAAAGTCTTGCCCGAGTCGGGAACGTCGCCCCAGGAACTTTTGCAACCACACGCCACAAGCCGATGGCCGAACCACCTGCCGGACTCCACTCGGCCGAGTGAGCCGATCTTTTTGATTGATAATAACGGACACATCGGTCGACATACGAGAAAATAAGTGGCCCTCTTGGCAAAAGGCCCGAACGGGTGGCGCCAAGCGAGGTTAAGGGGAATAAAGCGGTCATAAATATGGCTTTCCTATTGGCCTTTGACCTTATTGATGATATTAGTTCATGCTGCCCATACCGAGGTCCATCAACAAAAGGGCCTTGAATCTGGGGTTTGGGGGTTCTACAACGTTACTCCGCAAACGATAGTCTACGGATAAGACTGAATCATGCAGCTGCTGAGGAAGCTACCGCTAGCTGCAGGAACCGGATCGTTTGTCAACGGACATCTTCTGTAACCTTCCCTCGTTGGAAATGATTTGCAGCTGTGCGTTGTCTGTCTTGCTTTCTTGCCGTTGAGCCGGGCGTTAATTCGACCGCATTTGGTAGATTGAGCCAACATGAGCATACACCAGTGTCACCTTCCCACTATCTCTGCTGACATCACGCATACTTATCAGGCAACATTCGGGTGTGTCAAATGCACGGCTCTTTTGTGACACTCTGCGACGGGATGCGCATTCTTATATGCGAGGGACTTTCGAAGCTCTCACTCTCGCTTGCTTTGGCAGTTTCTGTCTTGTTTACCAGACCTTGCAAAATTTCTCCAGTCTCCACGAGTGGGTCGAGGTTCAAATCTCATTGCATTGAGGCTCGAAGGCAACCTAATCAGAAACACGTGTCTAGTGGACCTTAGGAAAGCAAAGCCACGCGCGAAGAATGATAGGAAAATTGTGCTCCGTACTGAGCCAGACAGTTCAAAGCGAATTTAAGGTCTGGATGCTTGAGGAAATCTGCCCAGGCGGAAACGTCTTCGGGGCTAAGGAGGATCGCCCCTGGATCGCACGTGCGATGGGTCTGCTCACCTCTCAGGCCTATTATGTGGCTTACTTTTTCCGATTTCCGGCCATTTTTGTGGGAATTGAGTTATTCTTTGCTATTGCTACATATCGCGATGAATCAGAAGTGTATAACGTTGCAAGAAGCGGCTCCCAAGTACAGTTTCATCTAGGATTACTAACAAAATTCCGGAATTCTTGGAGACACAAAGACCTCTTCGGCACCCTGGTCTCTCTGTCGGGTATGCCGAAATTGTCTAGCTTTTATGAGAAGAGTTTACCATGTTTGACAATTATTTGATCGCAAGAAACATTACTTGAAGATCGACTAGAATAATCTGCACTTTACCAACTTCCCAAATTACTGATCCTCCATCAGCCGGAATATTCCCCGAGCCAAGAGATTGAGGCTGAGAGCGGGCGGCATGGGCCGCAGCCTCCGATGCAGGAGCAGGGAAGCGACTGGCGGGGCCTTGGCAGCACGCCATAGGAATTCGGCCGAATGCACGCCTAATCGAGTCACCGGACGTTTATGATCTCCCTCCACTTCAGAAAAGTTAAACTTGATAAGGAGACAATCCGGGGAAGGTGCCGATCAGGGCGGCTTAAGAGCTCAATGTTCGTGAGAATGGTGGGTGGATACACCGTTTGTGGCCTTGAGCAAACTCGAGACCATTGCTACTGGACTTATTTGGCTTATAGGTCGTGAACGTTAAACTTGAGCCGCTAGCGAGCATGGGCCTGTACCTGGAACGGTTTCGAATTCTTTTACCCCTTTCGAGTAAGTTTAAGAAGTACTAGTTCTCTGACCGCCTGACTTCCGAGGCATAGAGTTGCTTCAATGCTTGCAGGAAAATACGCTACGACACTTGAAAAGTAGGAAGACCACCTTCTTCTAAACTATCAATCAGTAAAGAAATAGCAGATTCAGATTAAACGTCAAATATTACATATTACTAAAGCGAAACTGAGAGTAATTTGGAATTGGTTGTGATTCATGAATTGATTGTTGGGTACGATGGCTACTCAGTTGACTACCACGGCTGCGATTATATACATACTTGAAGTATCAGGTATTTCATCAGTATCTGAGTTATTAGGCTAACATATGCACCAGGAATTCGTGCAATGTAATATCTTTATAGAGCCTGCTACCTTTCCGAAACATTAGATACGCCGTTACAAGAATCACTATGAAGGTAATTTTCTCATAGAGCTCCAACTCAGGATGAATCATACTCAGCACTTCAAATTTCACACATGTAATAATACTCCTGATATATTGGTCAATTAAATAAGTTCTCAGCATGTGGGCCAGATGTGAGGGATTCATTTTCTGAGTCCAAACGTGCTCTATAAGAGAGGCTATTACTTATGTGAACGTAGCAAACCTCAAGGACACAACATATGATTCAAAACCGAAACTGACTGCCTCAGGAAATCATCCATACAATGCAATATATCTACCATGTGCTTGTGCTATTGATCTTCCGAATCCCTGTTGATAAGCATTTGGGCACAGGTGTTTGGCAGTCCACTCTTTCGCTTCAGAGAATTGGAACAGACGCTGGCGTCGCTGTGCAAGGGCAAACTCAGCGCTTCATTTCACTCGTGGCGTTCAAATGAATTTGAGCCTTCATTTGGTTTCAAGAGTGATATAACTGTTGCATCAAGTTGTCGCGGTCACTTGACTGCCTTGGAATCTCTCGTTGCGTTAATATAATCGTTGTGCAGAGCAGTATGAGTACTTTCAAATCATCGCGTGAGATAGGTAGGTAAAACATTCAATTGAGCACCGTGTATGATAAAAACGACAGAAATAGTCTATATTCTATTTCAATGTGACATCATCAACACTAGAACCCCATCGCGGCATCGACCTTGCAACTACCTTAGTCAGACGTCTCATAAGCCTTGTACTGAAGGTGAACACCCTGCTGTAATTCATGTTTGACAAGACCTTTCTCAATTTGACCAAACGCTAGATACTCCCCTCGGCAATCCATACGCGTCGAGGAATTTGGCCATGATGCAATGAATCTCAACTTTTGGGCGGAGGCCTCCGAGCCTTCGGCGTCGGTAGGATTCAGAGGTTCTTTGCAATCGTGGCATGCATAATACTCATTCTCTGCCCACGCACTCTGAAAACAGTTGAAATCGGGTCACGAATGAGGCTCAATTGCATTCGAACCTATTGGAAAATGTGAGTTATCACAATGGTGAGATAAGTATCGGCGAAGAACGTGTTGATTGGGACACTACTAAGTACCAAAAAGCCCTTCTTTTGACCTCTCAGATTCATGTTAAATCAATCTCATGATCTCGATCATGGCTTCGCAAATAATCAAGACTGATTGATGGTTGAAATACCCCTTGCATCTGGGAATGTGACTCTGCGAGTGTAGTGTAATTGAGCTTCATGGGTATGGGCGGGGAATGACAACGCAACCCATAATACTGCTCAGCTGAGAGTTACTTCACAGACATTATGCTCTGCCCGTACTACTCCCGAGCTCTAGCTTACTCTGGAAGCATTTTGTCGCGAAAACAAATTCGCAACGGTGACTATGAACGTCAAATTGTAACAAACTTTGCCATTTCACGCCTAGCCCCAAAGATATACTCATGACTCTAGCACGTAATGATGCGTAGATCAAGCAGTGGACCGTGGGGAGTTCTATTCGGAAACATGTTGCGTTGACATTGAACTCCCAGAAAGAAAGAGGCCACCGAATGATCAAGACTCGCTGCCAGCTTTGGTTGCCTTCGTTTCCATTCCCTTCACGAGAGCCAAGTCCTTAAAAGGGACCATCAAACCTCGGGCTCCCGTGCTAGAGAGTAAGTAAGTTGCCTGGCGGTAATAATATCAACTCTATGTCATCGAGTCACACCATAAGCATATTTGTTAATTCATCATGTCGAGAAAATCATTGCCTTTCCAAAAATCCTTTTGTCTGTTGCAGGCCTTTTGAGCAGAAACAAGGGCTACCACAGCTGCCTGGACACAACTTGGGACATATTTAAAAGCCAGGGGGGCATGTACATACACGCAACCAGGGTCCATGAGGTCGTCGTGAGAAGCAGTGCTTTGCTGAAGCACATTTGTCCGCCTTTTTAGCGATCAAGTTGCGACAGCTATGCCTTCTCTATACCAAAGAAAAATGTTCCGACCCCCTATTGATTGCAAAGCTTCGAGGAGATATCCGTACTTCTGCTGCTTCATCCGGACATGCAAGATGATTATCAGACTGGGGGCCAAATCCTCCAATGGGGCTCCTGTAGGGTTCACGGACTCGCCTGATGATCCCCTGTCAACTTAAACATGACGGGTGGCGCCGAGACCGTAGCATCGTTGGTAGTTACTAGTGCACCCCCTGAGATCTTAGCAGGTGCCTGAAATGAGTTTCGATAACCCTGCGCTGCTATCTAAGCGATGTGTGAGGGAACCAAACGAAAGGACGGAATCCATCCGTCTAAGTCGGCGATCCAACAAACCAATACCATGCCCTTGATTGAACAAGCATAGCTTGCACCTGATCCGAAAACGACAGTTTCTCCGACAATTGTCTCCATTGCAACTTCACGCACTGTCGCATTGCCAACGTTATTCCCTCGTTCGTTGGCGCGCTTTTATATGAGGGATCTGCCGCTCCATCTGCGCCCATGTAATTGTTGATCTTCATCCATTCACCTGCCTGAGCTAAAACGAGAACATCATCGCTCCAAACACCAGTAATGCTTATCCGACATGCAAGGTAATTGGCATCGCTTAACGAACAAAAGCACCTCCTCCGCTGGCCCCCACAAGGTTACCAGTCATCCACCCACTCTCGGGCAAACAAACGACTCCCACAACTCCAGCAACTTCCTCCAAGTAACCGGGGCGACCTCCAATGCTTGCCGCCAAGTCGAGAACCTCCTGGCTATCAACACCAGGTCTAGCCTTGGCAAGAGGCGTCAGGTTGTTTAACGGGCGAAGAGCCTCGCGGGGCTCGTCAGGCAGGCCAGAGTACAGTCCAGTGTCCATAGGTCCAGGAGCAACGGCGTTGACGGTCGCTCTTTCGGCCAACTCACGTGCCCAGACACGGGTCATGGCCTCGATAGCGCCCTTGGTGCCAGCGTATGATGTTTGCCACCAGACACCCCATGTGGTGGTTGCACTGGAGATATTGACGATACGACCAGAGCGGTCGGTAGGCAAGTAAGGGAAAGCGGCCTTGACGAGGAGGGCGGGTGCCTTGCAGTTCAAATTGAATGTTTCATCGAAAAGATCGAGGTCCAGCTGGTCAATGCCTTGAGCGTTTACCGTGGCAGCGTTATTGACAATGATGTCGATCTGGAAACGGCCGTTGGCATCGATGAAGTGAGCCTTGGCGGCGTCAACAAGCTGCTGAGGCGCCTCGGGCTTGCTCAAGTCAGCCCGGACGGGGAGAGCCTTGACGTTGTACTTGGATTCAAAGTCCTTGGCCAAGGCCTCAGCCTTTGACGTTGAGCCCTCGGTGGCATAGTTGATGACAACGTTGGCACCTCTGCTGGCAAAGTGCTCAGCAAGAACGGCGCCAAAGCCTTGATAAATAGTCAGTCCACTGTGATTTCAAGCCAAATGTTGAATCCTTGCTATGGAAAAGGATCCTATTTGAAGAGACCCGGAAAGTTTAAAAAACCACGTACTTCGCGATGCACCAGTGACAATGGCAAGCTTGCCCTCGAAAACCCTGAAAGGAGCCATTTTTCTCAGATGTCAGAAGAGCAGAATAAACAATGTGACGTGGAGGCGGGGAGAATATTATGCCTCTCTCCACGTGATAATTGTGTGCTTTATATATTGTGTCCTGTTGCTGCTGCTTCATCCCGATGCTTGCATGTCCACTTCGTGAACTAGCCAACTGGTCAGTGCCGCCGGGCCGCATGGTGGGTGGGATCCGAAGAGGAGTCTCGACTAGGGGCTGAGCAGGATCATGAATCTTGGCTCTCCACGCAGACACGTCAACTACCAAAGGCTTCTGCCGATCTCAATATGCATAAACCAGTCGTGAAACTCGGAAGTATGAACACCTTGGGGGAAAGTCCAGGGCCAGTTAAAAATTCCCTCAATTCCCAAAGTATGTTGGTTTAATCATTGATATTACTTGATCCTGTGTAACCAGGAGACAGTCTTCTGCTTCAACATCCAAAACGACCAATGTAGCGCTCATCGCTTTCATGATGGCTTGCCAATCTAGCATTTCTTTACCTAGCCGACCAGGTCTTGCATTGATGCTGGCCATTATATGCGCACTGTAGAGGGGCATTTATGGAAAC